CTGTGACCTCCAGCACAGGATCATCTGTGACCTCCAGCACAGGGTCATCTGTGACCTCCAGCCCAGGGTCATCTGTGACCTCCAACACAGGGTCATCTGAGGTCACAGGGTCATCTGTGACCTCCAGCACGGGATCATCTGTGACCTCCAGCACAGGGTCATCTGAGGTCACAGGGTCATCTGTGACCTCCAGCACGGGATCATCTGTGACCTCCAGCACAGGGCCACAGGGTCATCTGAGGTCACAGGGTCATCTGTGACCTCCAGCACAGGGTCACCTGTGGTCCTCCATCTGAGGTCATCTGAGTTCCTCCAGCACAGGGTCACTTAGGGTTAATATCTGTCATGAGGCCATGTTCTAGACCATGCATGTTGAATGTCTCTCAGAGCTGTTTGGTCTGATCAGAGCTTTTGATGCATCATTGACTCAACCTTATTTTATTTTTTATTTTCTCTGCATTCTGTTACAATTTAGTACATTAATACATTATTGTTGAACCATCCTTGCATTCATAGAGTAAATCATGCTTGACTGAGGTCTAACCACTTGTAATTGACTGATGATTTGCTGTATCTTGATTATTTTTGCATCAATATTCACCAAAGACATCTGTCTGTAGAAGTGTGTTTGTATATAACCTATAGTCTTTAGATAACTCATAAACCCCAATATTGTGGAAGTACTGGGTAAATGGTTGTTACACTGTATTGTTTAGGGAAAATGTTTAAGAAAAATAACCATTACAGATATGTTTATTCGTCATATTTTCAACCTAAGGGTTGGTCGATTCCATGACTGCCAGGCGGTAGATTAGAGGGCACTGTCACTGTTGGGTTTTGTTTTTGTTTTTGTTTTTCCTTGTTAAACCCCATGTAGCTGTGTGAAAGCCACAGTAGTTGATAATCCACGCCCCCTCCAGCCCTGTGCTGCTGAAAAGTCCAGGGGTAATCCCTGAATTCATAAAGGCTGAGACTCAAGTCAGAGCTGAGGAGGCTAATTGCACTCTGAGCTTCACAGAGCCAAGGCAAAATACAGATAAAGGGGAAGCATAGGAGTCCTGAACTCCTTCCTACAGAGGAGGAAGAAAGCCAGACTCCCAGAGTGCACTGCTTTCCCAGGGATGGCCTTAGCAGGATGAGTGTTACGTAAGGGATGTTGGAGAAGAAGGCACAGGGCCCTCCTAGGCCTGGCCACTTCTCATATGGCTAGTGATAACCTCGAGGGTGCATCTGTAGCTTGCAGTTCTGGGAAATCCTGTGTTTGTGGGCAGCCATGGTCCCTGAGGGACACTTGCTGATTGCATTTACTCAAGGTACCACAGAAGTGTCGCAGCAGTGTGGTGTGCCTGCTGAACCTTTCAGCCAGGGACTGCTTCGTGTTCCTGGGTAACGTGGGAAGCAGAGCTCAGTGCCGTGTGACAGATAAGGAAACCGAGACTTGGGGAGGTTCCCAGTATCACAGTCCCTTAAGTGGAATACCAGAAGCAACTGTTACCTTTTCTTTTTTGATGATCCCCGGCAGGGAAGGTGATGTCTGGCCCTGGTACTGTGTACAGTGTGGCAGAACTGGGCCTGTTGGATTCCAGGCAGCACCCCTTCAATCCTTGCCATAGATCTAGAAGCCAATAATTGCCTATGTTACCGACAGACAGACTGGCTTGAGTGGTGGTGAGGAAACCCTACAGAAGCTTCGAGGGCGTGGGGAGTCAGCCAGACTGCCGGCAGAGATTGCCCTGCTTTGCCTTTTTCTGAGTAAGAAGAGGATGGTGCTGTGGTTTTGTTTCCTGTTACTGCCGTTAAAACACCCTGACGAAAGCAACTTAGAGGAGAAAGGGTTTATTCCAGCGCATGATTCCAGGTTACACTTCATCCTTGTAGGGAAGTTAACGCAGCAGGAACTTGAAGCAGCTGCTGCTCAGGAGCAGAGAGAGAACGAGCACATGCATGCTTGTGTTCAGCTTGCTCTCTCTACTCTTCTGCAGGGCAGGGACCAACCCATGGGATGGTGCTGCCTGCAGTAGTTAATGCAGTCAAGACAACCCTCCACAGACATGTCCACAGGCCACATGATCCAGAAGTCTCTCACCGAGACCCTCTTGCCATGTGATTTCCAGTGTGATTGTATCAAGCGACAACTTGACATATACCACATGTAGCTTTCATGGAGTCTCAACAGACACAGCTGGGCTTGGTGGCGAATGCCTTTTATCCCAGCACTTGGGAGGCAGAGGCAGGTGAATCACTGTGAGTGCAAAGCCAGTCTGGTCTACAGAGTGAGTTCCAGATCAGTCAGAAGTGTATAGGTGAGACCATGTCTGAAAACAGAATAAAACAGATCCCAAGCCCCATACAGGAGTCACAATAGCAGCTTATATTGGCTGAGCCCCAACGGGGGGGGGATCAACTTGGTGTTCCTGAGAGGGCAGAGTGTGCCAGCCACCTGACCATCTCATCTACTGTCCCTGCATAGTGACAAGGATGTGTATCTTTCCCACCATTGCTCTATGGTTGATTTTCCCAGTGGTTGACAGAGGCCCTGGGTCTCTTGTGGAGGTGGGGAGGGTTACAGGCAGGGTGCTTTGCAACGCTGAAAAGTCCGCCTGCAATTTTCTGCTGCCTAGGAGATTGAGTGGGTGGGTGGATGGGTGGGTGAGTGGGTGGGTGGATGGGTGGGTGAGTGGGTGGGTGGATGGGTGAATGGGTGTTGACTGCGTTTTCTGTTCTGCCTGGTTCCTTCAATTGTTAAGTCCCAAAGAAATCACACAGAGGTCGACATTAACTATAAACTGATTGGCCCATTAGCTCAGGCTTCTTATTAACTCTTATAACTTATATTAGTCCATTATTCTTGTCTATGTTAGCCACATGGCTCAGTGCCTTTTTCAGCAAGGCAGTCACATCTTGCTTCTTCTGTGGCGGGCTCACAACTGCAGAAAAAGCTTCCTTCTTCCCAGAATACTCCTGTTCTCATTGACCCGCCTCTACTTCCTGTCTGGTTGTCCCGCCTCTACTTCCTGCCTTGCTACTGACCAATCAGCATTTATTGAAAATATAATTGACAGAATACAGACCATTCTCCCATACCAAATGGGTGGGTGATTGAGTGAGTGGGTGGTTGGCTGGGTAAGTGGGTAGGTGGATGGGTGAATGGGTGGGTGAGTGAGTGGGTGAGTGGGTGGGTAGATGGGTGGGTGGGTGGGTGATTGAGTGGTGGTGGTTTTCCTTCCCTGGTATCTGCAACTGAATACTTCCCGGAGGCATTGTTGTCAGATTAGAGAGAGTCTTATGGAAGCCGAGATCAGCTTAATGTTGATGGATGGTCAAAGTGACCTAGCTGACTCTGAGCCATGTCCTTCCTTCCTGTGGGCAGGTGTGCAAAGAGACAAGTGACCTCTCTCCCTGGCAGTTTTCTCTATGGCTTGTGGTGGGGTTGACAGGGTCGGGACTGTCTAAAACCTGTTGCTCCTCTCATGTTGCTCGCCCAACCCACGTTCCACTTGACTTTCCAGGACCGTTCACCCTTCATTGCAGTCCACTGACCTTCTGTGGGTTCTGACCTGGCTCATCACTCATCAGCCCAGTGGCTGGCCACAGTTGGGGGAAGAACCCAACAGTCCCTTTTAGAGCTAAGGGAATGATCCAGATAGTCGAAGGCACCCTAAGGTGATATGGGCTTGGGGTGTGGGCCCAGCTGTGGCTGTCTCCAAAGCCCTTTCTCATTCCATCCTCATCTTCGCATTACCTAGAAGCCTCTAGAACAGCAGTTCTCAACCTGTGGGTCACAATGCTTTAGAAGTCAAAAGATCCTTTCATAGGGGTCACCTAAGACCATTAAAAAACACAGATGTTTATAGTGCAATTCATAAGAGTAGCAAAAATACAGTTATGAAGTAGCAATAAAAATAATTTTATGGCTGGGGATCACCACAACATGAGGAACTGTATTAAAGGACCACAGCATTAGGAAGGTTGGGAACCACTGCTCTAGAAGGCCAGACTGGGACCCATCGTCCTCCTGACGTGCCTTCTCCATCTGTGTTGGAGGGCTGGTGGGGGCCCCCTGGTCATGGATGAATGTGGCCTTCCTGTTTAGAGAGACCCAGCTTCCTTGGTGGCCCACAATCCTGACTCTGCCCCTGCAGAGCACGCCACAGAGACTGGAGCAGGAAGGTAGCCATAGGTGTCCACAATGATGGTGTCTCCACTCAGGGGAGATGACAAAGGTCTGCTCAGAGTGCTTCAGGAAGAGCCAGGAAGACATCACTGTGCACTGTCCTTCAGTCCCCTGCACTAGCTGCTGCTGGTTTTCCTCTGGCCTGCCATCCGTTAGGTGTGTAGTTAGGTCTGTGTGCTTGCCGACTGGCTGTCTGACTGTCTGACTGGGTGGATGCGTGGATGGGTGGATTGATGGTTAGATGGATGGGTAAGTGATGTGATGGATGGATGGGTGAGTGGATGGATGGATGGATAGCTGGGTGGATGGATGGGCAAATGTCCTGGGAGGGGAGGCGGTGTAGAAAACCTGCTGTTCAGCCTAGCATCTGCCACCTGTCTTTGTGGAACACACTTATTTCTGGGCCTGTGGCTGTACATCTGGGCGGATCCCCCTGCCCCAAGCCCTGATATTCTGATGGCCTGAGTCAGCTAGGGTAGAGCTCCGACAGATGGCTTTGGCGTAGGGTTCTGTGAGGCTGTGGCCACTCCAGATTTGGTAAGGAGGTTCTCTGAGACTCTTGGCTTCAGGGCAGAGAAAGTATGATGATGTAGAAAGCAGGGTTGATTCTAGGTGGCTGGAGGAACATGCGGGGCATTAGGCCTGGTGCTGAAGCTTTGGGTTTTGTGGCAACCTGGTTTTTCTTTTCTGGAAAGATAAAAGCACCTGTACATCCTCTTTGGGTATCAGAGACTCCTGTTGGGGTGGAAACGGTAGGGAGGGAACGGGCAGATGGATACGTCCCTGGCCATGGCCCCTGATCACTGCTCTGCTTTGTTTCCTGCAGATCATGATTGAGTTCTGCCCTGGGGGAGCTGTGGATGCCATCATGCTGGGTAAGTCTTTCTTTAGCCACTAGTAATGCAAGACCCGCCCTGAATCCTGTATGGACTCCTAGCCAGCTCTGACTAGTCCCTCCTTCCCCTCTAGCTCCCTGCTCCCAAAGGAGAATTAGCACTTCCTGTGTCTTTATATTGACTGATTACCCTTTTGACCTTCTTAATCGTAAAATTGTATGACATCACAGCTGGGAAGTAGTGGTGCATGCTTTTAATCCCTGTACTTGGTAGGCAGAGGCAAGCATTTCTCTGTGAGTTCGAAGCCAGCCTGGTCTACAAAGGGAGTTCCAGGACAGCCAGGGCTGTTATACAGAGAAACCCTGTCTCGGAAAACAAAAAAACAAAAACAAAACAAAACAAAAAGAATGGATTATGCCTTCCACATGCACTGAGTGGGATACCCAAGTGTCTTAATCTGTTACTGGTGCTATCACAGAACACATGCAGCTGGGTGAGTTATAAAGAACAGAAATTGCTGGGCAATGGTGAAACACACCATTAATCCCAGCACTGGGGGGCAGAGGCAAGTGGATCTCTGTGAGTTCAAGGCCAGCCTGGTCTACAGAGTGAGTTCTAGGACAGCCAGGGCTACACAGAGAAACCCTGTCTTGAACAACAAAGCAAGCAAACAAACAAACAAAAAAGAACAGATGGTGATTTGGCTCATGCTTCTGAGACTGGGAAGTCCAAAAGCAAGGCATCAGTACCTGGCAAGCATCCCACATTGAAGGAAGAGTGTGAGAGAAACAGACAAAGGGCATCATCGGGAATCCACTTCCATGAGGACAGGCCGACCCTCACAACAGGACTAGCCCATTTTTTAGAGGAGAGACAGTGATCTCCTAGCAGCCCTGCGCTCGGGCTTTCGGGGACACATTCATTAAAGTGCCCATGTATTTTATAAGGGCTCAGGAGGAGGGTTATCAGGTCTCAGTGTCCTTGGCAAAAGCTAATTGATATCAATGCTAATAAAGTATTGTATCTTAGTTTCTTTTTTTTCCTACTGCTCCAATAAAATACCTGAGACTGGGTGCTTATAAAGAAGTGTTTTGGAAGTTGAAAGTTCACTATGGGTGGGGGGCTTTCTAAGGGTCTTATGATGACTGGGGCCACAATGGGGAGAGAGCATATAAAAGATAGTATGGCAAGACAGAAAGTCAGCTTAAGGGGGAAGCTTTGCTTGTTTTGTCTGTCTGTCTGTCTGTCTGTCTATTGACTTGTTTGTTTGAGACAGGGTCTCACTATGTAGTCCTAGCTGGCCTGGAACTCACTATGTAGACCCGGTTGACTTTGAACTTACAGAGATTCTCCTGCCTCTGTCTCAGGAGCGCTGGGATTAAAGTATGTGCCACCATGGCTAGCCCCTTCCTCTTTTTATAACGCCTGGGTCCTGCAAGTACTATCTGAGGCCAGACTTATTCCTTCTGGCGGTGGGGCTCCGTTTACATAATTACCTCATAAAGGCTCTACCACTTGCACACCCCCACACCAGAGACCAGTACATGGGCCTTTGGGGGACAATATCAAGCCTTACCCTAAACTGGAGTGCTTTGTGATCAGTCTCTGCGTGCCCAAGATGCATCTCATTAATCTTTGGTTATAAATCTGAAAATAAGGCCTCTGTTTATTTGTGTGTGTGTGTGTGTGTGTGTGTGTGTGTGTGTGTATGTGTGTGTGTGTATACATACATGTATGTGGATTGTGTATATGTATGGTCTGTGTGCTGACTTCTTAACTAATTCTGATGCTCCTGCTTCCACCTCCAAAGCTGGAATTACGTCTGTGTGCCGTCACTCCAACCCCTAGAGGGACACTTTTAAGTGCAAACCCAATGGCATGCCTGGCTACCCAGACCCACCTATAGATTTCAGATTGAATACCCAGTTACATGCAGCCACCATCAGAAAGGACACACAGTCCTGTTCTGTCAGGCCCCACTGGTCTCCAGCCTCTGCCACCTTCCCTGACATATATCCTGACTTGATAGTCATGCTATACCGTGTCTTCGGCACAACCATTTATTTCCTTTTCTAGAATGTTCTTCCTGTTCCTCACCTCCTCAGACCTATTAATCCTTGAACCTTAGAGGTGAGCTCTGTCTCCAGACACTGTATAGTGGGGAGAGTCCCCAGCTAACATGCAGAAGACTCCTGGTGACTGACCTGGTGACTCTGCCCCTACTACATCTCCTGATGTTCCCACCCACCATGGCAGCCTCCAAGTCTTTGCTTCTTCTGGCTCCTTGGCCTGGGCTGCCTGCATTCCACGGTCATACACTCCTGCCTCTGGGGCTCCCATCCATCCCCACCCTGCCCTAAGCATCACTCTGCATCCACACCAAGCCCTGACCCCTGAGAAGCACCCACTCTGTGCTGTGGCTTGAACATGTGCCCCCAAACCCATGTGCTGCAAACTTAACCCTCCAATTCACCCACAAATGGAGTTTGGAGGCGGGCCTCTGGGAGGGAGTTAGGGTTGGATGAGGTTGGGAGGCAGCCCCCATGGTGGTACGAGTGGCACACTTGCTGTCTTGCCATGCGGCACAGCACGAGGACCTCATAAGTGATGTCATGCTGTTGGGACTTACAGCGTGCAAAGTATGAGCCCCTTCTATATCAATTGCCACAGCAAGATGAACCAAGGCACCCGAGCCCTGCCGTATATACTTTGCATCTCCGTGTGCTCTCCGTGAACCCAAATTCTGAAGCTTTGGGTCTCCAAAGTGTCCTTCAGCAAGTGACCTCTGATCCTTGGTGGCCACTTCTGTGCCCTGGGGAGAACAGCGGTGTTGGCCCCATGGAAGCGTTGTGGGGATAAGTGATGCTCCCCACTGCTGGCCCGGCGGCGTAAGGTCAGATAGCATCTGAGAAAGAGCCTGGTGCTGGCCCGGCGAGTGCCACTCAGTGACAAGAGTGCTTCTCTTTCCCAGAGCTAGACCGAGGCCTCACCGAGCCCCAGATTCAGGTCGTCTGCCGCCAGATGCTGGAGGCGCTCAACTTCCTGCATGGCAAGAGGATCATCCACCGCGACCTGAAAGCTGGCAATGTGCTGATGACCCTTGAGGGGGACATCAGGCTGGGTAAGAAGGGCTTGAGGGGCGGGGCAAGAGGTGTCTAACTGCAGTCCTTGCCGGTGGGGTCACCTGGCCTTTGCAGCAGGAAGGGCCCTAGGCCTGGTACTGAGTATGGGCTCCTCACTCCCACAGGCACCCCTGCAGCCTCTGGGGTCCCACGGTTCTCCCCTGCATCCTCGGACCACAGGTTATTCTAGTGTTTTTCAACCGGGGTCAGGGAACATTTGGCATCACAGAGAAAATGGGGGTGAAGGTGTTGCTTGAACCTTGTGAGCCGAGGCCGGGGATGCTGACAAGCACCGTGTGGTATATGCACTAGCCCATGATGCCAGAGCTTGGCCCTAGCTTCCAGTTTGACAAACTCAAATGGGGAAGATCCTGTATCTAAACATTTTACCCACTGAGCCACCAGTTTCCCCTGAATATTTTCAGTACATTATTGGTCCAATCCACGGATGTACCCGTGAGTGTGATGGAAGGTAAACTGAGTATCAGAATTGATGTTGGTTTTGGTTTTTTTGAGACAAGGTTTCTCTGTGTAGCCCTCACAGTCCTGGAACTCGCTCTGTAGACCAGGCTGACCTTGAACTTCTCAGAGATCCACCTGCCCCTGCCTCCCCGAGTGCTGGGACCAAAGGTGTGCGCCACCACACCTTCTTGAGCTTTTAGCCAAACACCACGTGTGCACCCTCTGCTCCCACTGTTTCCCATTGTCATTCCCCAGAGGTGTGGCTCCGAGCGCTTATCTTCCCTGCAGCACCATTAAGTAACACGCCTGTAATTCTGCCATTCGATGGACAGCACATGCTTATCACACAGTCCACAGGCACAGCATTTGCACATCATGGGTCAGGTGAGATAGCCCGGAAGCACCTCTGACCTCTTTATCTGCTCACGTCCACCACGTTGGTCCGAGGCGCCCATCAGAACCTGTGCATGCCTCCTAGTGACTGCTGGACGCGGGGTGCAGGTGGAGAGTGGGGGTGGCACCCCTGTTCTGACTCATGTGATAGCATCCAGCTCCACTGCCTAGTAATGTCTTATTCATTGCTCCATTCCCCACTCTCAATCTTGTCCTTCCAGCATAGAAGTGTCAGCCTTTGTACTTTTTCTGGGGGGGTGCCTAGGTGTGTTAGGGATATGTAAGAAGCAGTACTGGGCTGGAAAGATGGCTCAGCAGTTAAGAGCACTGACTGCTCTTCCAGAGGTCCTGAGTTCAGCTCCCCGCAACTCACAACCACTTGTAATGAGATCTGGTCCCATCTTCTGACGTGCCAGAACACTAGCAGGCAGAACATTATATACATAATAAATAAATACGTCTTTGAAAAGAAGAAGAAGCATGGAGCCCCTGTGAGAACTGCAGCGGTAATGTGAGGGTGGGAACAGAATGGGCATAGTCAGTCAGAGGTGTGCTCTGAAGCGTGTGGTAGAGGGCTCAGCGAGGGGAAGGTCAGTCCTGGGACACACATCTAACAAGAACAAAGCCAGGTCCACAGACTTAGAATTCTTTGGGGGCCCCTCTCAGCCCCTCTGTATAGTAGCTTCTGGAGAATTGCTTGGCTCGGCTTTCTCCCAGGGAAGGGTGTAGGAGATGACACCTGTACTATGTGCCATATACGAGAAGAATAGGGTTGCAAAGTGGGGTAGCCAGACGCAGACGAACCTGGTTCGAATCCTGGCTCTGCCACTTCCGTCACGCGGTCCAAAGATGAGTATTAGCCGTTAAGAACCCAGCGTTTATTAGCAGTGTGGGTATAAACAGTGGGACCTCCTTGACGGGCTATGGTGACTGTAAGGTTAAGGGACAGCACTGTCTATTGGGCAGGTGCTTGGCACCTGCTCCTACCTTGGGGTGCGACCGTCTTGGGTTTCCTTCCCCCGGGCTTCTCTCTGTTGTCAAGTCCAGCATGGCTCCAGCTGCCCCATTCTTGACTGACAGTTGGATTGTGTCTGTGCCGAGAGAAAACCTGCAGCTGTAGGGTGTTGCGATATTGGCAGGGTGTGGCCTCTGGAACTAAAGGATCTGCATTGTCCCCAAAGAGGCAGGTCACCTACCTACTCCTTTTGAGCCTGGTTTCCTACAGTCATGCTACCTTATAGTCTGGGGGTGGGGGTGACAGTGCATTCCACCCTGTCGGCCCTGCACAGCTGAGAGCACCAGCAAACGTGACCTCTGTCCTGGTGACAGCCGTGAGATGAGGGTCTCCACTCCCCAAGTCCCTGCATGCCTTACCCCGGTGCTCCTTCGGGAAGACGAGGTGAATCCTACAGCTTCCAAGGTCTTTCAAGTGCCGGGCAGAAGTCTAGGTGTTCAACCCGAGCCTAGAGCAGTTGAAGTTGATAACAGTCTTATCCATCATTGCTATCACTCCTTCAATCTGGTTTCATAAGGGTCCTGACTCAGAGAGGCTCCCTGCTATGCCAGAGGCCTGCCTAGTAGCCCAGCTGGGAGCCAGTCACCTGCCTCTCATGCCCTTCTTTACCTCAGCCAAGCACCCCGACTCCTGCTCCAGGAGATTGGGGTCCTGAGTCTTTACCACCTAATATCCTCCCCCCACTTTTCCACAAGAATACACCCAAGCTCCTAAGGGGATGCCCAGAACCCCAGATAGCCCCAAACCTTCTGTAGACTAGGTTTCTCCTACACACACACACCCCTACCGCAAAGTTTCATTCATGAATTAGACTGGACGTCCACAACAAGGGGTTACCACAGGGCTATTGTCACAAAGGTTACATGAATGTCGTCTGTCCTAGTCAGGGTTACTACTGCTCTGATGAAACATGACCAAAGCAACTTGGGGAGAAAAAGGGTCCATTTGACTTACACAGCATTGTTTGTCACTGAAGGAAGTCAGGGCAGGAGCCCAGACAGAGTAGGATCCTGGAGGCAGGAGCTGATGCAGAGGTGGTAGACGGGGGCTGCTTACTGTCTTGTTCCTCATGTCTTGTTCAGCCCGCTTTCTTAGAGCATCCAGGACCAACAACCCAGGGATGGCCCTGTTGACAGTGGGCTGGGCTGTTCCCTATCCATCACTAATTCAGGAAATATGACCAGGCTGGCCTCGAACTCAAGAGATACACCTGCCTCTGCCTCCCCAGTGCTGAGATTAAAGGTGTGCGCCCTGCCCAGTCCTACAGCCTGGTTTTATGGAGACATTTTCTCAACTGAGGTTCCCTCCTTTCAGATAACTCTAGTTTGTGCCAAGTTGACATAAAACTAGTCAGCACATGATCTTTTCCTTCCTTCCCTCCCCCCCAAGGTTGATAATGTTTCAGGTTGACCATAAGTAACAAGCTGAAACTACAGAACGCTGAACTGCAGTTAAGGGGCACAGTAGCTGCCGCGCTGTGGGCCAGGGTTGAAGACCTGGTAACTCAGCTTCCAGTTAGTCTCTGACATGGAGGGAGGGACCAGGGGGCACTAAGGGAGTTCTCCTTCCATTCAGTGTTAGTATGGTGGGCAAGATGGCCTTTCCAGAGGAAAGAGGATTTGGCCAGAGAAGCAATCTCAGCCTGTAGGAGTCATGAGGGCACCGAGCAGGAAGCAAGAAGACTGTGTTTGCAGTTGAGGATGGGGTGATGTAGGGAGGAGAGAGGCAGAGAAGGCAACAGTAAGGAGCTGAAGATAATGGGGAGCCTGTGACCAAACAGGCTTCATTAAGAGGTCACATGTAGTTGCCCTCAAACCTACAGCAAATAAAACAGAAGACTTGTCACAGTAGAGTAGCCCTTCCGGTTTCATGGCAGGATAATAAAGGCGTCATTAGCAGATTGAGGCCCAGAGGAGTGACGCAGTGTGCCTGTGATCGGTCACGTTAGCATCTTGTCACCTCCCTGCCTGGTACTGTTGCTCCCATAACACCCCCAGGAGGGCAAACCATCCTGTAATTGGGAGACACCTCCTGCCCGTGAACCGAGCCAGGCCACTGTCTGCTGCTACCCTCTCCGTAATCCAGAGGAAGGAGGCCCTTGGGAGCACTTGTCTCTCCCCTGGTTCAGCAGGTTACGGCCTTGTTTCTCTAGGCTTGCTTCCCTCTCAGCCCCATGAGAGGGCTGGCTACTGTCATGTGGTGTTTTGGATGGGACAGTTTTCACCATGCAGTGTGGTGGGAGCCCTCGGACTCCAGGTGACTGTGTGGAGGTTGTAATGGTGCCACCCTCACCCCCACCAGGCACCTAATTCTCTCCACACTTTCTGGTTTCTGATGGGAAGCCGTTGTGTCTTGTGCCTGTGTTGATCACCTGGGGTCAAATGTATCTTCAGACATTTGAGTTTAACTGTTTTTATGTGTGTGCATGAAATGTTTTAATCCTCAAGAGAAGATAATATTTATACATGTATAAAAAGTACTTCAAGTGTGTGGGAGTAGTGCCTTTAATCCCAACACTCAGGAGGTAGAGTAGAGGCAGGCAGTGTTAGAAGCTAGCCTGGTCTACTCAGCAAGTAACAGGCCAGCCAGGGCTACTTAGTGAGGGCTTAAGGAAAGAGATAGGGGTGGAGCCATAGGGAGGGGAGCCTTCAGAAATGACCTATGTGTGAATTCAGGAGAAACTAATGTCTGTGTGTCTTTGTTCAGTTTTGTGTGTGCGTGCGTGTGTGTGTGTGTATGTGTGGTGCTGGGGCTCAAGCCTGGGGCATGCTGGGTAGAGGGAAGCACTTTTACTTAGCTGTATCCCTTGCCCTAGACTTTTTAAATTTTTTTTTGTTTTGCTGAAACACAAGAAATATACACACTTATGGAATGCAGGATGACGTGGTCAGACAGCAGCTGCCATGGCCATCACCTCAGCTGCTCAGTGTTTCTTAGGAGAGCATTTTAAATTGATCTGATTTTGTGACAGTCAGTTATTGTCAACCGTAGTCCCTGCTTTAGAGCTTTAGTGCTCCACCATGTACCCACCCTCACCCCTTCTCCCTTCTGACTCCTCCCACCCCACCCTACTCACCCCTCCTCTTCCAGCTCCCTATTCCACCCTCCTCCCTCATGACTCCCCCCACC